CAGCAACTAGTGGTGATGTTAGTGAATTTAAGGCCAGCAAAGGTTGGTTTGAGAGATTTAAGAATCGTAGTGGCATACTCATCAATAAGTCTTCAATCAAGGTAAGTGTCATTTTATGAATTATTGTTTTTATTCTTCATGTCTCATTGTTTTCTGTATAGGAAAATGCATATTTCATGTGAAAAAAAAAAATTTAATACTTTTGGGTGTCTGGAACAGATTAATTGGATTTCCATTATTTCTTATGGGGAAAATTAAATGGGATAATGATAAAATCGGTTAAGGACAAGCTCTCTGGAACGGATTAATATCATTAACTGAGGGTCCACTGTATTTGGGAGTTGACGTGTCAGTGGATGGGTTTGAAGAATGAGGTTAACGATAAAATTGATGAAGGAAAAAAAGGCGAGTGGTGCGTTGAGGTATATGTGGAGACAAAAAACATTATCTATGGAGGCATAGAAGGGAATGTATGAAAGTATAGTGGTACCAATTCTCTCATATTGTTGTGAAGCTTAGGTTGTAAATGCTGCTGCGCGAGGAGGCGGTTAGAGGCAGCAGAGATGTCCTGTCTAAGGGCAATGTGTGGTGTAAATATTATGCGGAAAATTCAGAGTGTGGAAATTAGAAGGTGTGGAGTTAATAAAAGTATTAGTCAGAGGACTGAAGAGGGGTTGTTGAGGTGGTTTGGTCATTTAGAGAGAGAATGGATCAAAGTAGAATGACGTGGAGAGTGTATAAATCTGTAGGGAAGGAAAGCAGGGTAGGGGTCATCCTCAAAAAGGTTGGAGGGAGGGGGTAAAGGAGGTTTTGTGGGTGAGGGGCTTGGACTTCCAGCAAGCATGTGTGAGCGTGGTAGATAGGAGTGAATGGAGATGAATGGCTTTTGGGACCTGATGAACTGTTGGAGTGTGAGCAGGGTAATATTTAGTGAAGGGATTCAGGGAAACCGGTTATTTTTATATAGCCGGACTTGAGAACTGGAAATGGGAAGTACAATGCCTACACTTTAACCCTTTCAGGGTCCACAGGCCCTCTCAGAGAGTTGTTCTCAGGGTCCCCCAAATTTCAAAAAAAAAAAAATTATTTTTTCTAATGAAAAGATAGAGAATCTCTTCCCGATCATAATGACACCAAAAGTATGAAATTTGATGGAAAACTTAAGGAATTATGCTCTCGCGAAGTTAGCGGTCTCGACGATGTTTATGCATCGGCGATTTTGCCTACTTTGAGCCCTATTTTTTGGCCAATTCCAATGTACTAGTCGACAAAAATCATAACTATTTCGCTAGAACTCCATTTTTTCTATCGAATGAGTACAAGAAACCACCAATTTACCGATTTCAACTATCCAATACAGTGGTCAGAATTTAGCAATATTGCCAATTTCACACAAATTTCAAAAGATGCCAATTTCCAAATAGGGTCCAGAATAAACAAGGAAGACATTCCTTCCCCTAAATTAACATTTCCTCTGTTCATTAGTCACATCCCCAGGGCCCTCTTACATTTTTTTTGCTTTCCACTTTGCATTTTTATTCTCGCAAAAAAAAATAAGATTTGCTGTTATGCAGACTACTGCATTAGTGTAGAAATGGTGTAAATAATATCGGCACACTTGTGAAAGAATGTTAGACTCGCCAGTTGACGTGTATTGGACACTTAGCATGATTTGTTTACTTTTGAACTTCGGTAAAAATCGAACATTTCTGCTACTTTGAGCTCAATTTCAAGGTACTTTTCATTGTAAAACCAGTCAAAATCATCTCAATTTCTGTAATATGTCTTCCATTCTATACAATGAGACCAGGAAAACTAGAATACAACAATAAATACCATATGAAAATATAGTGCAAGTTCTCTGTTTTAATCCAAAAACACTGTCAAAGTTTTTTTTTTCTCATTACGCACTGCGTGCTGCAGGATTTTTTTTTTATACTGTGCACACTGACCACATAGACCCATTCTTTCATATGTAGGCCTACCAGCTTTCTCTCACTAGATTTGAAGGCGCTAGAATTTATGCATACTAGTACATCATGGACACTGATGCGTAAGCCGTACTAGTACGTCCGAAACCCTGAAAGGGTTAAAGGAAGGGTTTAGGATATTGGCAGTGTGGAGGGATATGTTATATATCTTTATATATTCTTCTAAACTGTTGTATCTGGGTCCCTCTACAAAAAGTGATTATGTATGAGTGAGGTGAAAGTGTTGAATGATGATGAAAGTATTTTCTTTTTGGGGATTTTCTTTTTGCATCACTCTGCCTTGGCAAGAGACGGCCGACTTGTTGGAAAAAAAAAAAAACTATGATTGTAAAGGATATGATGCATTTTTTGTTGTTACTTGAATACTAACTATATTTGAGATGCAGTACTGCAGTATTTAAATCTGGCCACAAGAGAAGTCTCCAGGCAGTGTGGAGGGATATGTTATATATTTTTATTTTTTTTTTATTATCACACCGGCCGATTCCCACCAAGGCAGGGTGGCCCGAAAAAGAAAAACTTTCACCATCATTCACTCCATCACTGTCTTGCCAGAAGGGTGCTTTACACTACAGTTTTTAAACTGCAACATTAACACCCCTCCTTCAGAGTGCAGGCACTGTACTTCCCATCTCCAGGACTCAAGTCCGGCCTGCCGGTTTCCCTGAATCCCTTCATAAATGTTACTTTGCTCACACTCCAACAGCACGTCAAGTATTAAAAACCGTTTGTCTCCATTCACTCCTATCAAACACGCTCACGCATGCCTGCTGGAAGTCCAAGCCCCTCGCACACAAAACCTCCTTTACCCCCTCCCTCCAACCCTTCCTAGGCCGACCCCTACCCCGCCTTCCTTCCACTACAGACTGATACACTCTTGAAGTCATTCTGTTTCGCTCCATTCTCTCTACATGTCCGAACCACCTCAACAACCCTTCCTCAGCCCTCTGGACAACAGTTTTGGTAATCCCGCACCTCCTCCTAACTTCCAAACTACGAATTCTCTGCATTATATTCACACCACACATTGCCCTCAGACATGACATCTCCACTGCCTCCAGCCTTCTCCTCGCTGCAACATTCATCACCCACGCTTCACACCCATATAAGAGCGTTGGTAAAACTATACTCTCATACATTCCCCTCTTTGCCTCCAAGGACAAAGTTCTTTGTCTCCACAGACTCCTAAGTGCACCACTCACTCTTTTTCCCTCATCAATTCTATGATTCACCTCATCTTTCATAGACCCATCCGCTGACACGTCCACTCCCAAATATCTGAATACGTTCACCTCCTCCATACTCTCTCTCCTCCAATCTGATATTCAATCTTTCATCACCTAATCTTTTTGTTATCCTCATAACCTTACTCTTTCCTGTATTCACCTTTAATTTTCTTCTTTTGCACACCCTACCAAATTCATCCACCAATCTCTGCAACTTCTCTTCAGAATCTCCCAAGAGCACAGTGTCATCGGCAAAGAGCAGCTGTGACAACTCCCACTTTGTGTGTGATTCTTTATCTTTTAACTCCACGCCTCTTGCCAAGACCCTCGCATTTACTTCTCTTACAACCCCATCTATAAATATATTAAACAACCACGGTGACATCACACATCCTTGTCTAAGGCCTACTTTTACTGGGAAAAAATTTCCCTCTTTCCTACATACTCTAACTTGAGCCTCACTATCCTCGTAAAAACTCTTCACTGCTTTCAGTAACCTACCTCCTACACCATACACTTGCAACATCTGCCACATTGCCCCCCTATCCACCCTGTCATACGCCTTTTCCAAATCCATAAATGCCACAAAGACCTCTTTAGCCTTATCTAAATACTGTTCACTTTATAGTTTCACTGTAAACACCTGGTCCACACACCCCCTACCTTTCCTAAAGCCTCCTTGTTCATCTGCTATCCTATTCTCCGTCTTACTCTTAATTCTTTCAATTTTAACTCTACCATACACTTTACCAGGTACACTCAACAGACTTATCCCCCTATAATTTTTGCACTCTCTTTTATCCCCTTTGCCTTTATACAAAGGAACTATGCATGCTCTCTGCCAATCCCTAGGTACCTTACCCTCTTCCATACATTTATTAAATAATTGCACCAACCACTCCAAAACTATATCCCCACCTGCTTTTAACATTTCTATCTTTATCCCATCAATCCCGGCTGCCTTACCCCCTTTCATTTTACCTACTGCCTCACGAACTTCCCCCACACTCACAACTGGCTCTTCCTCACTCCTACAAGATGTTATATATCTTTATATATTCTTCTAAACTGTTGTATCTGGGTCCCTCTACAAAAAGTGATTATGTATGAGTGAGGTGAAAGTGTTGAATGATGATGAAAGTATTTTCTTTTTGGGGATTTTCTTTTTGCATCACTCTGCCTTGGCAAGAGACGGCCGACTTGTTGGAAAAAAAAAAAAACTATGATTGTAAAGGATATGATGCATTTTTTGTTGTTACTTGAATACTAACTATATTTGAGATGCAGTACTGCAGTATTTAAATCTGGCCACAAGAGAAGTCTCCAGGCAGCTTAACATAAGCTGGCAACTTTTATCTGAATATTCATTCCTCCACTTGCTAACAGTCACTAATTGTAATTACCTAGTGTGAGTAAGCAAGGCAGGATGTTGAAAGAGATCAGCATACACTGAGAAAGTTATTTATCGATTATACACCTTTACTTCATTGTTGCTTATTTTTCTCTTAACCCAGACTTCGGTTATCCTCTCCAGATGTCTAAACCATAGGTTGGGGGTTGTAAGAGTGTGTAGGAATGCAGTCTTTCTTCTCTGTTCATAGTAAAATGTATAATTTCATAATCCTTCATCAAGAGCCAGTCTCTACTTTCTAACTCATTTCTTCCTTCATTTTTGCTGCATATTTTCAGCAAAGTAGAATGAATTACTCATGATTTGTACAGTACAGATGCATTTAATATTCCATTTTAACTAAGGGAATAAAAAAAAAAATATTCTTCATAGGGATGGTGGACTGAAGAGATCTGCACCAAAGAAGGAATGGAAACAGCAATATCAGCAAGAATTTTCTCGCCGCCTTAAGGTTCAAAATGTTAATTCCGAGAAGAAAGAAGAGAAAACTGAATGATTAGAATATTAGAGTATAGAGAAAAAGTTGTATGAACAAATGAGTGAGTGTATAATTTTGGAAAAGGCTATGAACTAGCAACTAGGTATAGACCATCAAGTTGAAATTAGTTTTTAAGTTCCTTTGTTAAATATACAACTGAAGCAAATGTTTGGGTTATAAAATGGGGTTGATATACCTTAATGTTTAAATGTGAATCTTTGAAGGTTATATGGAAACAATCATTAAACAGTACATGAGAATAATAATTTGATGACTATGTAAATGAAAATTATCATCCTTCATAGAAAGTAAAGTTAAAGTGTATCTCATTTTCTTGTAATGAGAGTTTGTCAAGAAGGGAATTCATGCACCATAGAAAAATAAATTTAAAAATTAATTTTGGAAATGATATTCAGTCAGTTGGAAACACTAGTCTTTAATAAGCTTTATTCACTTTTTCTAAATGGATTTTTAAAAATGATATGTATTGTAGTAAAATTAAATGAGAGTTTATAAATTAAAACCATTTTACATATCTCTGTGCAGCGCTGTATAGCCCTTGTGGCTTAGCGCTTCTTTTTGATTATAATAATAATAATAATACATATCTCTGTAGGACGCTGTCAGTGTTAACAGAAAGAGGCAATGAATACTTGCCTCTCGTGACATGTTTTACGGTACCAAGTCCTATAATGATTGTATTCTGTCATGTTGGTTACTGTGTATAGTGTTGCAAGTGTTACTTCTTTGTACCATGTATTTTGGAAGTGTAATTTGTGATAATTATTACTGGTAGTTGGGTCACTATTTTTAGCATATCTTGTGTTCAGCATTCTGTCCATTATCTTCACAAGAGTTACACAAATTGAATTAATTTATTTCATGGATTTGTATAAAGAAAATGTGTAAACATCCTTTGAATGTTCGCTTGTGCCACACAACATATAAATATGTAAATTGATATGAATTGTGTGCTAGCTTCATTACATGTATATCATAGTACAGGTTGTTTGACTCTTGTGGCCATTTATTCATCGTGTCCAGTGAATACTTTCATTTATTTGATGAATACTAAGATAAACATTTAGCTTAGTGTAATTTATTTTGATACAAGTAAGCATTAGTTACACCAGAGCACTAAATACATTGAGAAGAAACCTAATGTAAACATTCATAAATGTTTACATTGATTTTTTTTAAGTAAAATGACTGTGATATGTGTATGGATTAGCATTTGCATATTTATAATATAATCGTAAATACAACAAAACTGTATTTGCCATATTACTTAAATCATACCCTGATATATCTTAAACATTTTGTAATTCTCAGGGCTGGAGTAATTTTAGTCTTGCCTAATTTTTCTGATGTTTTTCTCTGTCTCCAAATTAGTCAGTTTAGGTTTGAAAATATATAGATCAGGAGACAGGGTTAAGCAACTTCTGACAGTGTATTTTTTCATCCCAAAAACTTAAAATATTGTACATAATACTTCAGGGATTATAGATGCATAAAGACATTGTACTAAGCCTGTAGTTTACTTTATTTCACGAGTGGGAGATGAAATGTGACCAAAAATATACCAGCAGGTAAAGGGCTTTCCATGGGTAAAGTATTTTCTGAATTGGGTAATCAAATGAAACCTACAGATTTATAGCTAGAAGTTTTCCACAATTTAAATATTTTCTGAAATGTGCAGGGTTTTGTCAATGACTCTACTGTAAAATAAAATATTTATTTACACAAACTGAATATGAATAGCCTTATTTGCAGTAGACTTTGTTGTTGTTGCTGCTCCTTTCACAGGAGATTTCTTGATGCTGGTAACCTCTTCAAGGGGGCTCCTTGCAGTGGTGATTTATTTATTATAATCAAAAAGAAGCACTAAACCACAAAGGCTATACAGCGCTGCAGGAAGGAAGCGAGGGTATCAGGTGGCTAAAGGGAGAGAGATGAGTAGGTTATGGAGAACAGCGGGGCAGTGGATAGCAAAAGGGTAGAGGGCAGCAAAAGATTGAGGTAGAAAGGGCTGAGGGAAGTGCAAAAGTTATCAGAGTTTGTGGAGTAAATCAGTCGTTGTCAAGAAGTCAATGAGAGAGTCAGGATTAGAGGAGGGTCCATCAGCAAGAAGGTAAAGAGTAAGAGACTACGTTGGAGGTAAATTCTACATGCTCGTTGATAGAGAGGGCAGTCTAACAGAATGTGGCTAATCGATACTGGAACCTGACACTTCTTACAGAGAGGAACAGGGCGCCTGTCCATGAGATACCCACGAGTAAGGCGAGTGTGGCCAATGCGAAGACGGGAGAGGGTAGTCTCCCAACCTCGACACTGATGACAAGACGGCCAGTTACCTATACTTGGTTTAATAGACTGAAGTTTGTTACCGAGTAGAGTTGACCAACGTTGTTGCCAACAGGTGTGAAGGTGGGTAGCTATTACAGCAAAATAGTCCATAAATGGAACACCTCTATATGAAACTGGTAGGTCATGTACTGCTGACTGCGCAGCAGAGTCTGCCTGTTCATTGCCCTGTACGTCAACATGACCAGGGACCCAACAAAAAACAATACCTTTGTGCTTGGTAGATACGGCGTAGCCAAAGTTGGATACGGAGGACTAGGGGGTGAGGTGTATCAAATTTTCGTATAGCCTGTAGAGCACTAAGGGAGTCTGAGACAACCACAAATGATGACAGGCATAGATGCAATACAGATAAGTGCAGCAAGAATGGCATACAAATCAGCTGTAAAAATGCTAGCCAAGGATAGTAAATGTCCTCGCATAACACTGTCCGGAAACACTGCTGCGAATCCGACGCCATCAGAAGACTTAAAGCCATCTGTGTACACTGCTATGGCATGAGAATGAGCCAGTAAACCAGCAGTCCGGGATAGCAACCTCACATCTGCCCAGCTACCTCGGTGGACAAAAGAGAGGGCGGCCGGATATCCGCCACAAAACATACCTCCTTCGGCCACCACCCCCGGAATCTGAAAGGTGGCTTCCAGAGATACACCCATCGCCCGAAAGACACCCAAAGCTACCCTCCGGGATACAGGAGAGGGATTGGGACATCCCCAGGCGATCCAGATTCCACGGCAAACTACGCCACCGCCAAGAACCTCAACGGAATGGGATGGACCCCGGTACCCTTTCCCCTACCTAGGAACTAGCGCGCCTGTGGGAAAAATCCCAAAGGCCAAAAAGAGGAAGGGCAAAAGGGAGGGGTGGGGAGGAGGAGGAAAGGAAAAAGGGGAGGATGGGATAGGGAAGGGGGGATTGGGGGGTAATTAGGTTCGGTCTGAGGAAGGAGACTGACAGGACTAATTCCTCAGACCAAGAGCCTCTTCAACACGCCAAGGAGCCCCTCTCTAAGAGGTGCAGTGGTGAAGAGGCTCTTGGTCTGAGAAATTGGACCCTTCAGTCTTCTTCCTCCGATCGAACCTAATTACCTCCCCTTCCCTATCCCATCCCTTCCCTTTACTGTTTTCTGCCTTTGAGGTTGTTCCCTTAGGCTTTGTAGTTCCTAGTCCTGGGAAGGGACTCCGGGATCTATCCTATTCTGTTGAGGTCCTGGGGGTTGGCTTCAGGTGTCTTTCAGATGGGGTGTATCTCTGGAGGCTACCTGTCAGATTCCAGGTGGTGGTGGTGGCTGAAGGAGGTATGCTTTGTGACTGGTTTCTGACTGCTCTCTCTTTCGTCCACTGAGGTGACACAGTAGGTGTGAGGTTTGCTATCCCGGATTGCTGATTTACTGGCATGAAGGGTAGGGTATGGCACGGGTACCATATCGCATCTTCACTACCAGCTGTGCTGAGGTCTTCTTGGGCATAGAAGGGGGGACTTATGGTCCTTTCCCCCTGGGAGCTACCCCTCCATGTCCTGGCCCCCCCCTCTTTTTCTTGAAAACAAAAGAGACACACCAAACCATGGAGTCCCAAATCCATGAAACTGCTCCTCCTGGACCATATTGTGTGGCAACACACTCTTATGACCCTGCCTTGTTACTGGACCATCCTTCAGACTTTTCTAATGCCCCCCCCTCTTTAAGGGGGTTCTTTGCCGAGGTAGAGGATCAGTCGGAGAAATTAGACCTCTTGGTCTTCTTCTTCTGACCGAACCCGATTACCCCCAATCCTTCCTTTCCTACCCCACCCTCCCCATGCCCCCCATTTTTTTCCTCCTTTTCTCCTCTCTCCCCACCCTCCCCTTGTTTCTCATCCCATTTGTAGTCTCTGGGGTTCTCCCCTTGGGCATTACGGTTTCCAGGTAGGGGGAAGTGTGCCGGGGTTCATCCCACTCCGTGGGGTCCCTTGGGGGTGGTGTGGTTTGCCGTGGAATCTCAACTGTCTGAAGGTGCCCTGCTCCCTTCCTGGATTTACGAGAAGTGAGCGGGGTTCCCTTTGGATAATGGGTGCATCTCCGGAAGCTGCCTGTCGGTTCTGGGAGGTATGCTTTGTAGCAGGTTTCCGACCGCCCTTTTGTCTGCTGAGGTGGCTCGGTAGATGTGAGGCTATTATCCTGGAGTGCTGGTTTACTGGTGTGAAGGGTAGGGTATGGCACGGGTTCCACGCTGCATCTTCACTGCCCGTGGGCTCGAGGCCCCCTCGGTTGAGGGGGCGAACTTCCGGCCCTTCAATGCCTCCTAGTGACTGTTGCTCTGCTGTCCCTCTTTTTGTTTCTTTCCTTTCTTTTTTCTAAAAATAACAATAAAGGAGATATCATGGAAGAATTACCTTTATTATGGAGTCTTCACCTAATGAAACCCTTCCTCCTCCCAGACCCCTTTCTGATCCCACACCCAGTTATGACCCGGCTTTGTTATCGGTCCATTCTCTCGACTCTTCTCTTACCCCTGTACCTTCTGCCGGTGACGCTTCGTCACCTGCTTCAGGTGCTGCGGCGTCACCCGTTTCTCTCCATGTCGTTACTTCTAGCACGCCTTTCACAATGCTTCCGGCTCCCCAAATACAGTGTGATGTTTTTCGGATTGCCTGCCTCCCTCGGGTCACACCGCCCACGGTACTACTCCTAAACGTCCAAGACAACCTAGTGATGACAGTTCGTCGATGATCGCTTTAAGGCATGTTGGCCAAAATATATCTTTCCACGGTCTTTGAAGCTGTGCACATGTCGTAACTGTACAGAATCAGAGCAAGCTCATGCTTTATCCCGCATCACTTCCATTAATATACCAGTCACCGTTCGCGAAACACACTACTCTTAATTCTTGCAGTGGTATTGTGGTCTTACCACGTACCATTGTACAGAGTGATTTTTTGTCTTGCGGTGATGATATTTTAGAATAATTAGTCCTTCAAAACCTCCTTATTCTTAAGGTAGATACATACATCCTGCCTGCTCGTGAGCAGAGGCGCTTTCCTAGTAACATCGCTCATTTAAACCTTTGACTGTCATGAACTTCCGTCCTGTCTATATTGCAGGTCAATGTTTAGAGGTCTGTCAAGTAGTTCCCACCCCCCAATAGTGTCGTAATTGTTGGCGTTTTGGGCACCCCGCTAAACACTGCAGATCTGCAGTGGAATGCTCGATCTGTGGTGCAGATCATTCCAATACGTCTTGTAGTCTTACCCCCTCTTGTTTCAATTGCAAGGAACCTTGTCCTTCGTTTTCCCGCTGGTGCCAGGTCTATTGTAATGAACGAGAGATCCGTTACCTTAGAGTGCGAGGGCCTTACACTATGGCAGTCTCTCGGCTCCGCCTTCAAGGAAACCTTTCTCGTGTCCCATATGCTCGAGTAGCCAGCAGACCTCCATCCTCGACAGTCCTCCCACCTCTCAATCCCTCTGCGCCCGTCTCATCCAGGGTCACCCCAGTTTCTAATGCTTTTGCAGTTTTATCCTCTGACACTCCTACCTCCGCACCACTTTCTACTTCATCTCGCTCGCATACTTCTCAGTCTACTAGACCTCACAGAGGTACACTTTCTTCGCGTCCATCTCCTGTCCAGAATCTATCTTTTACCTTTGAGAGTAGTTCTCACCCCCTTTCCAGCTCTCACACAAAGGTGGAGGTTCACCCTCCCCCTAGTGTAGTTCCCTTCCCCCCCTTCTTCTTCCATAGTTGCCCTCCAACCTCCTTCCTCTCCTGTTACACGGCAGGACTCTTCTCCCCAGCCACCTCATCTCTCTAGGCTCATATTCCCCACCCTTCTCAGACATCTTTGGTTGCCTCCATAGCTACTGACCTTTACTTGCAATTTCTCTCCTGTCTCTTGACATCACTGCATCGTCGACTTCCTTATCAACCGAGATGTTAGAGGCTATCTCCAGCTATATAGCGGAGACAACACCCCTGATGGACACCGACATGCTGCCTCCTACCCCTCCTATTTCACGACCCGTGCAACAATTTATTCCTCCGCAATATTTTAATTCTTCTTTACTTATCGTTGCCCCCACACATTAACTTTACTGATCCTAAAAGCCCATAGGTTTTATCATTTCTTATTGTTGTCATTTTTATTTCTGTACATAATGTCTTGTTTACATTGGAATATTCGTGGCCTTAGGGGCAATCAAATTATTATTATTATAATCAAAAAGAAGCGCTAAGCCACAAGGGCTATACAGCGGGGGCAATCAAAGAGAGCTCCAGTTGTTGCTCTCCCAGTTGTCCCCATGTGTTGGGTTGCAAGAGCCCAAAATTCATTCTGCTGTCATTCGCCCTGTTTCGGGCTACTTGCTGATACATTCTTCCGATCCTTTACCTGACAAATCATTT